TTCCCTTTGATTTGTGATTTACTTTAAAGTTCAGTTACATTGTTTTCTAGTAGCTATGAGGAATGTGAAGACTTTTCCTTGGGGATAAAGTGAGATCCTTGAATTGTAATGGCAATTACCACCCAGTACAATGTTATTGAAAGAGGGCTGATTTCTGACTTAGTTCACGGAAAATGAGTAGTCCCTGTCACTTTATCTATGAACAGAAGGATTTAGAAGACTATCTCTCTAAATTCACTCCACATTACTCTAGAGTGACTTTGCTGTAGGTGACTTGGACTTGTCTCATTAGGGTGTTCAATGAGGAATCGGTTGTGGTGATATTATTTAAGGAATCTTGCTTGCACAAGGATCAGGATTTATTAGCAATTCAATGTTCCTTCCCAGCTGAGGTTTTCTAAACCAGAGTTTCTCTTTGAGTTGTGTATTCCAGCAGTGATCAACTTCATGCTGAACTACAGACAATTTGAGTTTATTTGAAATCTGTGTGTTCTGATTCCTTATTCCAAGGTAGAGAAAGAGCACATCAGCTGTTCTGGCCTGAAGGTAGATGAAGGGACTAGACTTGAGGTGCAATGTTTCTCAGCAGCCACAGAGTGTTGAATAATCTGATTTTTCTCTTAGATACACAGGATGGTCAGATTTGATGATCTGGGTGGCAATAGAATCAATTAAATGGATAACTTTATTATAGTATAATATAGTATAAATTTTGATTATTTTTAATCTGCTTTAGTTTTTGGAGTCTGTGAGTACTGTTTGGGAGTTACCAAGTAGGAGCCCATGACTGGATGGAAGTTTGATTTCTTCACTCTGAGGTCAGTCACATCAGCTATTCAGCTGTCTCACATTTTCCTCTAGTCACTGTTTGTATTGTTTTGCTCTGGTCCAAAGATTACTTGATGTAGACTATATGTGCTTATGCACTGATTTGTGAAGTTCTTCTTAAATCTTTGCTCTTCTAGGTGGGGCAGAATTGTGGGGAGAGAGAGCTGTATTTTCCACTAAGTGGCAGAGTTATTAGGCATGGGTGAGAATGAGTAGCAGAGAGAAGAAAAATACAGGAAAATCAGAGATGACACAAAGGAAAAGGTAGTTTTCAAAGAAGAAGGCTATCAGGTATTATGTTTCATCCAGGGATGAAGCCTGGAAATGTTGGCCCCTACACAACTCCTCTACTATTTCTGAGCAGTCTCAAATTGATTCTAGCATTATTTACTTTTATATCCCTAGTGGATCAGAAATACATTGTATTCACACTCAGATAAGAGACATGCATTTTGCAGGAAAATAAATATGCCTTTGATTTCTTAAAAAAGGTGATACTAATTGTTATTCCTCACTTGCATATTATGTTTATACCTAGTTTCAAATTCTGGCTCTACTGCTGTAATCTTAGCAGGTTAATTCACTTCTATGGTTCTCTGTTTCCTCATACATAAAAAGAGGTGATAGTAAGCAGGACAGTTTTATAAGTTTGTTGTCAAAATTGAATGAATTAATGTATATAAGAAATTATTAAAGTGTGTGACATAGAGTAAATGCTATTGAAATAGTAGCTATTGACAGTTCACTAAAAATGTAAATAATATTGAAAGGTAAAAAATATTAAGTATAATTAGAATAATCAGTATTACATTTCTTGGTGAAAGATGGAGTCACACAAGCTAAAGATAAAATAATCTGCTATTTTATTTGAAAGAAATATAATGAAATACCAGTGGAACACAAAAGTGAGAAAATTTATTCCTGGGATAATGAGATTATTTGTGTGATCTAAAAAGAAGGAATAACTAAATAGAAGAGGGAGAGGTGGTACCTTGGGTTAGGAAATCACTGTATAGAGTTCATTCAGGGAATAGCAATCAGGGTGCAAAGACAGGTCATGGTCAGTTCAAGAGTGTATTGACCTTCATGCCATGAACATTAGAATTTATGCTGTAAGTAATGGAGAATGTTGGTAACCTTCATGTAAAGAAGGTATATATGATCATATTAGTATAAGACAAGTGATTGACTTATTTTTCTGATGCTTGGAGATGAGAATATACATGTATATTAAAGCATACTTCACTGAACAAACAGGACTGGAGTTGGTCCTGAAAGACAGAGTTGGTAGTGAGAGGGGGAGAGGGGAGGTGTTTCTGGTGAAGGCAGCTCTGTTGTGGGAATGAGCAGAACGGGCTTGCAGAGGTGGGGAGGAACCTGACTTGAAGAGATGAGTTGAAGTTTGGTGGGTAAGAGGATGAATTGTTGAGGTGGCTCTGATCTCAAAGTCATTAAAAGCCAGTTAGAAGTCACAGTTGCCCTGTTATTCCTAGGGAAGTGGAATAATCTGGGAAAGAAGGGTGTAGGAAGCAATTTTCTGACTGCAGTTATTGGATGATTGCAGTGGGGTAGATGGAGACTAAGAAGCTTTGGTAATTTAGCCACCAGCTGCCAGTGTGTGGGGAGACAGCAGTAAGAACAGGGAGAAATGGGCACACAAAGACTGTGGTGTAGAGGCCCAATTAATGAAACATGCTGACTGGATATGGGAAATGAAAGACAGACAAGTCAATGAAACACTGACATCAAAACTGCAAGGCTGGGCGGCTTGGCGTCCCTGTGTATCCCCAGGGCCCCTTACTAGTTTCTTGACCTCCATGGATTTTCCAGTTGAAGCACCCATGTATAAAGACTCAAAGCTAGCATCCACATATGAAACAGAACATGTGCTATTTGTCTTTCTGGATCTGGGTTACCTCACTCAAGATGGTTGTTTCCAGTTCCATCCATTTACCTGCAAAATTTTATAATTTCCATTATGTAAATGTGCTGTATTTTCCTTCTCCATGCATCAGGTGATAGACAGCTAGGTTGTTTGCATTTCCTAGCTCTTGTTGGTTAGTGGTTCTTCTATTTGATTTTCACTCTCCCATATCCATTTTAAGGATTCTGTTTGCAAGAAAGCAAACTTGCTTGTGTGAAAAGAATAAACTAATTAAGGACTTGGCCTACTTTCTATAGCTCTGATGTACCAAGGTCTCTATTTCTAGTACTTTTTGTTCTCCAAAACAGTTATTTTTCAAATTTTCAAGGTTCAATACTTCTTTTTAAGCCTCACCATGCATCTTTACTTGAGGAGTTAGGATACAAGCTGACTTGTTCACAGCACTGAATTCTGTTCTCTGTGTTGATTCTGTTCCTTGCTTTTTGTGGTGTATTTCCAATTCTTCAGAAGTGTATTTGTGAAAAATTTCAATATAAATCAGATATAATGGGTAAACCGTAGAGATAAAGTAAATACAGAAATGAAAGTATTCATATATTTTCTTTTTTTGTTGCTCATGGATCTGTATTAAAAATGTAAGCTAAAGAATACTTTTTTTGAGACTACTGTTTTGAGTGACATCATATTACCAGTTTTTGGTATGTAGTATGATCATGTGTCTTCCATGCAGTCTGTTGGGTGTCTAGATATGTAGGAAGCTATCAGAGAAAATGTGCTCCAGGGACATAGCTTGAGGAGAAATCTCCACTCCTGTCATCACAGATTTTGTTGTTAACTCCCAGTCTGACCCACACAAACAGCTGACCAGCTATAACAATGCTCTCAGAGGACCAGCTCTTTGAGTTCATAATCTCTCAATGACTTTGGTTATGGAAGGTGGGTAACTAGTTATGAAATGGTAGGTAGGTACAAACTATTCAGTTCAATTCTCTGAGAGTGTTTGAGCATTTGCTATAGAAACATTCTCATTCAAGCTGCCAAGGCTGGTGAAGAACTAAAAGGGTCAGAGGATTTGTGAAACAGAAAGATGACAGCAAGGAGGTCCTGGAAAAGGGAAGAATAATCAGTGAGAGAATTTGATAATATGGTTTAGCTGGGGTTTTCAGAATTCATGTATTGAAAACTTCATCTGCAATGTCATATTTTATTAATATTTGGAGCTGAGACCTTTGGGAGATGATTGAGTCATGAGGGCTGGTCCATCAGGAATGCTTTAATCCATTCAAGAATTGATAAGTTAGTGGACAATTGAGAAACTAGCATTGTTATGAAACTGGCCTCCCTGCTCTGTCTCTTGTGTGGTGTCTCTGCCTGCCATGACACAATGGAAAAACCATCAGTAGATGCTGAGCAGATTCCTGTACCAAACTTTTGGTCTTCTCATCCTCCAAAACTGTAATCTAATTAACTTTTATCCCTCCCTCCCTCCCTCCCTTTCTTCTTTCTTTTCTTTCTATTTTAATTAATTTGTTATTATTATTCGTTATTTTTACTTTTTATGTATATGAATGTATTGCCTGCAGGTATATAAGTGCACCCTTATCGTGCAATGCCCACGGAGGTCTGAAGAGGGTGTCAGATCCCCTGGAACTTTATATATGCATGGTTGTTAGTCGCCATGTAGGTGCTGGGAACTGAATCCAGGTCCTCTGTAAGAGCAGCCAGTGCTCTTAATCACTAAGCCACCTCTCCAGTACTTAACCTTTATTCTTTATGAATTATGCAGTCTGTGATCTTCATGCAAAATGACTAAAAATGGAGTAAGACATTTCCTGAAGAACAGAAGAAGGAAGGAAAGAGGAGGGCATGTGAAGGGGATTCAACAGCAAGAGTTATCCAAAATGTACTGAAGACAATACAAATAATAGACTCTTAACTTGAATGCCTTCCCAAATTCAGAATCCACGGTAAATTACAAAGACTCTTGAATGAAAGCCTGAAAGAATAATTCTAAGTACCAGAATTCACCATTTTCTGTTATTATGGTCAAGTGACAGTTTCCCTGAATATCCATTTTCTAGTGGTAAAAGTAAATAAAGTAAATAATGCAAAATGTTAGAATGCTAACATATAGTACTTAACTAGTAGTTATTAGGCAAATAAATGTCTAATAAGCATATTGTAAATTGTTTTACATTCTCTAAAGTGCTATAGAAGTCATGAATTTGTGTTAAAATCAGTTTTTTTGCAGAATTATCTGATGCCCAGCACACTTTGAACTCAATCCATGGCCAGGGCAAATAATGTGACCGAGTTGATTATCACTGGCCTTTTCCAGGATCCAGAGCTGCAGCAGGTGTGCTTTGTGCTGTTTCTTCCTGTGTACCTGGCCACGGTGGTGGGCAATGGCCTCATTGTTATAACAGTTAGTGTCAGCAAGGGTCTGCATTCTCCCATGTACACCTTCCTCAGCTCTCTGTCTATGGTAGAGATCTGTTATTCCTCTACTGTTGTCCCAAAATTCATCACTGACTTACTTGCCACAATTAAAACCATCTCTCTGAAGGGCTGTCTGGCTCAGATATTCTTCTTTCATTTCTTTGGGGTTGCTGAGATACTTTTGCTGGTGGTGATGGCCTATGACCGCTACGTGGCCATCTGCAAGCCTCTTCATTACATGAACATAATGAGTCGTCCAGTGTGTCACATGCTGGTGTCTGGTTCCTGGCTAGGAGGATTCGTTCACTCCATGGTCCAGATTCTCATCACCATTCCGCTGCCCTTCTGTGGTCCCAGTGTGATTGACCACTACTTCTGTGACCTCCAACCACTATTCAAGCTTGCCTGCACCGACACCTTCATGGAGGGGATTATTGTGATGGCCAACAGTGGCTTAATCTCTATTGTCTCACTCCTCATCTTGGTGTCTTCCTACATCATCATCCTGTTCAACTTGAGGAACCACTCTGCAGAGGGGAGGCGTAAGGCCCTCTCCACCTGTGCCTCTCACATCACAGTTGTCGTCTTGTTCTTTGGACCTGCCATCTTCCTTTATCTGCGCCCCTCCTCTACCTTCACTGTAGATAAACTTGTGGCTGTATTTTACACAGTCATTACCCCCATGCTGAACCCCATCATCTATACACTCAGAAATGCAGAGGTGAAAAATGCCATGAGGAAGTTGTGGGGCAAAAAGGACTCTGTGAGTGAGTGAAAGGAGAGCTAATGGATGGACAAAGTTTCAAAAGTTAGTCTGTTGTTGAAGTAGATTTTGCTGTTTTGTTGCATATTCAAATATGAGAGCTATATGAGGAGCATAGTTTTTCTGTTACTGTACTTCTCCTTTGTAGCCAAATATGCCCTTGTGTAATGGCCAAGAACAGAGGTCAGATAGTCTCACTGACAGGTTGAATTTGATTGGCTGCATAGTTTCCTAGTATCATGGGTTTGGGTAATTTGAAAGTTCAACCAAGTGCAAATGCAAAGAACATTTAGAAATCTAACTGTCTTTCATTGACACACGGTACTATTTAATAATTATAGGGTATTGTATGAGATTTTGACTTGTTTACATGCATAATGAATACTTTACAGTAATAGGCTTATAATTATCTCACACAGCATTTCTTTTTGTTGAGAAAATCCAATATTCTTTCTATAGCTGTTTAGGAAGATTTGTCACTAATGGTTGTCTTACTGTGTTATTAAACATTTGAAATTATTCTTCATATGCAAGTGCACCAAGGTACAAATTACTTCTTTTCTCTTTCATTTCCTGGTTTGCTAATGACTTTTATTTCACTGAAAAGGAAACCAACCACAGGAATTATCAGGGGGTTACTTAATTATGAGGCTATCAATCTGATTTTCTTTTCTAATGTGGTTAAGTGTATCTTTGAGAATTACACTCAGAAATTTTTCTGTTCTGGCTGGCTGTTGAATTTGCGTATCATAGACAATCTGATATTGGCCACCAGAAAAATCTCTGGGGTAATTTTAGTCCTTGAGTCATATTGACACCCAAAAGAAGTCTTTGGGCCCTTTCAGAATGTCCAACATTCATTAACCAAAGTAACATCAGATGAAAAATGTCCAGCATTCATAAACCAAATAGGGAAAAAAAAGCCAAATGCTTTCACAAAAAGAAAATAATTTTCAGCTTTTTGATGTAAAAATACAGAATGTTATAAAACATTTATTGCCTTAATGTGAAGAACGAAGGACAGGAGAACACTGTTTCTACTGCACATGTCTGTCCTTTATTATAAGTGAAATGCCAGGCTCATTTCTGCTAATGCCTTTGCTGTTTTTTTTGGGCGAAGAGAACTGAAAGAGTCTGTGCCTATCTACATTGTCATATCTCTCAGAATTTCCCAACACCCTACTGCCCCACATCATTGTGAACAGTTTTGAGTACATCTTACAATCCGCCTCTTGTTGGCTTTGGAACCACAAGGATTAAATTGAATTTGTACTACATTAATCCAGCTTTTATCAAGTGTGTGAAATGCTGGAGCAGGGTGTGTTTCCACCAAGTGTCTCTGGGGCTCTGAGATTATATACAGTAGTCAGACCAAAGCAATCTGTGGTTGTCTGGGCAAGGCATGGACAAATTTGTACCCTGATGAGACCATCTGTCTGTGCTAATACATGGTAGCCCAAGCCACATGACTACTGAGCTCCTAAAACATGTCTAGTGTCACCAAAATCTGAATTTTTACTTTATTGAATTTTAATTAACTTACTTAAGTCTGCATAGCCACACATCCTTAGTGACTATGAGATTGGGGTCAGAGGTGAGACGTTTCTCCTAGGGCCCTAATGCCTATGTGACTAACTGCCTCTAATCTCAGGCTCTCAATAATCAGCTTTTTAATCTCACCCTCACATATTCTGTTTAATCATCCTAAACTCCCACACAAGTGTCAGAGAAGAGAGAAGGCACTGGCAGCATCCATGGGCTATGCCCAGTCAGCTTTCCTCCTTGATCTCCCACTCTCCATTCAAGAATGGACTTAAAGCATGTGCAATTTCCTGCCTCAAGATTGTCTGCTTTGTAGAAGGGCTACACACAGGTAGCAATTTTGCAGCATTGTTTGTTGAATGATATCTTTCAGAGGCAATTAAAATTTTTTTATTGAGGTTTTTAAACATTTCATTTTGCCATAGTCAGTGATTATGATCACTGTCATCATAAACAGAGCCTGAAATACAGGGAGACCAAGTGAATCTATTTTATGTTTTTTCTAATTTAATTTTATTATTTTTATTTTATGTGTATGAGTGTTATGCCTGCATGTAGGTAAGTGCACCCATGTTGTGCAATGCCATTTATTATTTTTATTTTTTTTATGTGTATGAGTGTATTGCCTACATATATGTAAATGCACTCATGCTGTGCAATGCCTGTGGAGGTCAGAAAAAGGTGTTGGATTCCCCTGGAATGGGAGCTATGGATGGTTTTTAGCTGCCATGTGGGTGCTAGTCAGGGTTCTCTAAAGAAACAGAATAAATATATATATAGGGATTTATTGGATTAGCTCACAGGATAGAGTTCAAGTAGTCCAACAATGGCTGTACCACACTGGAGAGGCTGAGAATCCGTAGTCACTCAGTCTACAGGCTGGATGTTTCAGTTCTCCCAATCTGGTGCTGAAGGTCTGATGAATTCCAAATGATCGGCTATCTTCAGCAAGATGAACTCACCAGAGAGAGAAGCAGCAAAAAGCAAGCACTCTCCTCTGCCATGGCCTTTTATACGGGCTGCCATCAGAAGGTAACACCCACATTTAGGGTGTGTCTTCCAGCTTCAGATGATCCAATCAAGAAGATCGCTCTCATTTCAGTTAATCCCCGATCCAGTCAAGTTGACATCCAGGATTAGCCATCGCTGCTGGGAATCGAACCCTGATCTTCTGCAAGAGCAGCCAGCACTCTTAACCACTGAGCCATCTCTACAGCCCCAGACCAAGTGAATTTATAAATGTATATTATACACAAATATGTGAATGTGAGAACTAGAAGGTGAAATGACGGCACTCTAGAGCTATGCTCTACCACAGAAATGGAAACGGAGAACAAGAAGTTCGTATTGAAATGGCGGGTCCTTAGTTGGATAGTTCATCAGCAGTTGATCAAAACCCAGTACCCAGTGTTTTCTCTTTTTTCAAAAATAAATATTGATTTTATTAATTTATTTTCATAAACAACCTAAATAGATCCTCAAAGTAGAAAATGTTTTCAAGACTAGGTATGCTGGTGCAAGCCTGCAATTTCAGTGTCCGATTGTTCCTCTGATGTTTATTTTTTAGTCAGAAACTCTAGGCTAGAAGTCCTTTGCTCTGTGACTTTCCCCTTTCTTTATGACCCTCCTCCTTGTTGGGTGTAAAGCAATACGGAAGTGACACTAAATAATTGTGAAAGATTTTGAAACTTTCCCCAGATCAGTTTATTTGTCAGTTTTCTTATGGGGAAAGGAAATTCCACAGGGAATTTTGTCTCTTGATTATTATATGTGGGTTAATTTGTCATGAACAATTCAAGCATCTGCGAATTTACTCATAGCCCTTGAACGTTATGTGGGTGGATAAAATTGCAACACCAGACAGGATTTTATAACCTCTGAGTTTGCTGTTCTCATGGATTTTATTTATTTCCTAAAAGTTATAAGTCCAAATATTAATCCTGATGTGGATGCCCTAAATTTTCCTTTATTTTTGTTTTCTAAATGCTCCACGGTGTTAGACCTTGGGGGACAGATTCAACCCTTGAATTGCAATAGCAATGCCTTCTTTGTATTCCTAAAGCCTAATATTTTTGAGAGCACTGATTTCTAAGAAAGTACCTGGGAAACTATTAAGAGAGTGGCTCTGGGAAACCAGTTCACCCCTCAGACTCTGCCACTGCATGTGTGAACAAGAGTTAGAAAAATCTCTTTGAATTCTTTTTGGCAATGCTCTCTGGATAGTTTAGCTCACTGTGACATTGGTTCACAAGTCTTCAGTGAGAAATCTGCTTTGTGGTGATATTAGTCAAGGGACTTTATTTACTTAAGAAACACAATCTGTAGGGAGGACTCAATCTGTTCCATCCGAGCACATAACTTCACGGTGAATTGGAGACAATTTATTTGAAATCCACATGGTCATATTTTTCCAAAGCAGGTCTTCTGACTAAAGGTGATGTGATTAGAAGTAAGGTACAAAGTTTATCAGCAGCCACAGGGAAACTTAATTTTTCTCACAACCAGAGGGCTCATTTGTGCAATGAGGAGGGTGGTTTGATCCTTTTTGGTTGAGGATTAATTTAATCACTTTT